GATAGCAGAAAATAAGTCCCACATATCATTTGATCATAAACAAATATGGGGTCAAAATTGATTCTAGCTTTATTGCATTTGATCCAAGTACGGCTCAGATCCAAAAGCTCAAAATTGTTAAAGCTACCTTCTTTCTCAAAAATAGAGTGGGTCATGTGAAACTAGGGGTCAGAGAGAGTAGAGGTATGAATTATATTCTCTAATATACATAGAATATAAAAAATAGCATTGCTAAACAAATTCTTACAACATAAAACCTTGTATGGGCTATTAAAAGCACAAATGTTCCAAGCTGCAATGGAAGGGATAATCATTGAGATTTAGAGGCAGGGGAAACATTTAGATAAAATGGCTTGGAGGAAGATGAGCGTTTGCAGCTCCACAACTTTCATGCATTTGCTGATGTAGAGAACCCTAAAGATTATAAAAAAAATTAAGATACATTGCAACAGAGAGTTAAAAAGCTTTCACGATATCCACTGACAACAAAGATCATCCGTGGAGTTCTGAATTCTAGCTTGGATGAACGGCATTGGACAAAAGTTTTAAATAGTGATTTTGAAAATGCAGAATTGGGTCGGGATAGCATATATCCCATTTTAAAATTGAGTTATATGTTCCTCCCAAAACATCTACATAATTGTTTCTCATTTTGTTGTATATTCCCACAAGACCTAGAGGAATATGATTGTTTGCAGCTCCTCAACTCTCATGCACTTGTTGGTGTAGAGAACCCCCCTGATAATCATAAAAAATTAAGAGCCATAGCTGGAAAGAGAGTTAAAAAGCTTTTAGGATCTCCATTGACAGCTAAAGTCATTGGTGGTGTTCTGAAGGACAACTTGGATGAAAGGCATTGGAGGACAGTTCTAGAAAGCAATTTATTGGGTCAGAATTCTATCAATTCCATCTTAAGACGGAGCTATATAGTTCTGCCAAATCATCTACAAAATTGTTTTGTATTTTTTTGTATGTTCCCACAAGATTGTTTTGCATTTTGTTGTATGTTCCCACAGGATCATACGTTTGATAACGATGATTCCGAATGTGGATTGCATTGGGTTTTATTCAGCCACCTCATGATCAAGAAGGGACTATGGAGAATAGCAGAGAAAGGTATTTTAATGTTTTGGTTAAAATCTCCAATCTAAAGAAATCAAATTGACATATTGCAGGGAGTGGAAAACTCTTCCACTTTTGGTGCAACTTCTCTTATTCAAATCTCTAAAACTTTATGACATGCCGAAAGTAAAATGGATCGAAAACAAATTTCCTGGGAATGATAAGTACCGTGTCTTTCCATTGCTAGAGGTGCTACATGTCGATAGTTTAAAAGCTTTAGAAGATTTGTTTGAGGCAGGAGTAGTTGCGGAAGATGGATGTTTGTTCCTGGCTTAATTGAAATGGTGCTAAAAGACTGCCCGAAGTTGAAAGAGTTGCCCTCTTTGCCTTTTAAGCTCAAGAGATTGAAGATAAAAAACATTGGGTGGAAGACTTTGAATTATTGTAGGGGGCTGTTTGGCAACAGGATTTGAGCAGGATTTATGCTAAATTCTGCCAAACAAGATTAAAGCAGCCGATAGATCTCACGGCGGAATGAATCCTCCGTTTCCCACTTTTTCCGTAAATCCCGGATTTACTAAATCCTGGAGTTCGGCGGATTTACGGGATTTGGCTGAAGAAGCGCGCGAAAGGCAGAACGAAAGTACCTTCACAGCGAGCGAGCTCCAGTGGCTACGTCCGATTCAACAGCAAGAACGGCGAACTTCTGCGACTTCCGAGTCGACAGGAAGGAACGTCATCGAATAAAGCGAACAAGGCTTTAGCGAATCGTTCAAAACCCTATCTCACACCGGAACGAAGAACGCGGGAGAGCAGGCTTTAAGAAGGCTTCGTTTGGGTCGTCTTTTTTTACTCATTCAAAGCAGATTTTTATATATATATATATATATAACTGCTTTAAAAAGAGGACCCAAACGAAGTCTAAAGAGACGAAGCATATAGTCTGTAGTTAATTAGGGATTAATTTATATATTTTGATTAATACAAACTTAAAAATTAATTAATGTAATATAAATAATAATAAAATCAATATCTCCGGCTGTTAAAACTTCACATATCTTCCTCTAGCTAATTATAGCACTAAGATACCGGGCAATTTTTCAATTGCCCCCAATCTGATCTCTCTCAAAAGAGAGAAGAAATTATTTCGTGCGGACTCCGGACGTAGAGCAACGTTCGGATTTCAATAAAATATTGACACGTTGAATGAACATGTGGATATTCAACTGGATTTATTTTTTTATTTTATATATTCAAAGTGTCAGCGGAACTTAAAGCCAAGCACAACAAAAATGCACCAAAAGTGCAGCAAAAGATAGTTAAAGCGCAGTTAAAAAGAAGGCTTTAAAAGAGCAGACAAAGTTATATTGCACGTGTCAAAATTTAAGTGGACGTTCCGAACGTATCTCTACATCCGGACACCACAAACAATAAATTCTCCTCAAAAGATGGATGGCTGCTTAATTTGTTTTTTCTTTTTCTTACATATATACTTTGGTTAATGTCGGATTATTACTACTACAGTAGTTTGTGATATTGACTTTAGTTTTGTAGTTGCCTATGTTTTGGTAGCTGGATATTACTTTGATATTTACTGGTTATTACTTCTTAATAAGATTTTTTATACTTTTATTTTTTATACTTTAAACTTGGGAAATTTTAACTTTCTAATTTGGCTGAATTTTTGTTTACATCCTCTTATTTAAATTAATTTCATTGTTAATTTTTGAATGCACTGTCTTAGATAAAAAAAATTACAAGTATTAACTTGGCTGTTGATAGTACAACATGAAGAAGAAGATATATATAAAAAATTATTGATAGCAATTTTTATTTTATTTTTTAATAATAAATTTGCTTATGGCTATAAATAAATTAAATTGAGTTCAGAACTATATTAATCAAATTCATTCATTTATCAAATTCAAGCACAGTTTAAATATTTTTTGAATTTTAAATCTTATTCATCTTATTTATAAGTTTTCTTTTCGAATTGAAGTCAAAATTAAACTTTAATATGACTCAACTAATTATGTATTTGATACTAATAATTTAAATATATAACTTAATTATTAAAAATAATTAAATTTATAAATTTTAATAAAATTTGGTGTAATCCATTAAGTGTAATTTAAATTATTGGATACAAATATAAATATTAATAAAAAAAATCATATCAATCTATCCAACTATCTATTTGATATTTTCATTTCACATATAAATATAAAAATATAAATAATTAAGAATACGATGAAATATATATAATGAGATCAAGAACTACTAGCTTTAACTCATAATGATGTAGCTTGTGGACTCATAGTTAGACATTTTTTTACAATAATGAACCTATATCAAATAGATTTACAATTATATTTATTTTATAAGGATTATTTTTGTTTAAATTAGATATTGATACGTCACCAAAAATCATGTTGCTCAAACATGAATCTTGAAGCATATATGAGTTAGCAATTTCCTAAATTAAATTAGGAATCGTCCAAACTCCAATTTTAGCATGCTTATAGTCAAATTGAATATCTCAAGGAGCAGATCCAACAACACCAAAATTGGTTCAATCCAAGCCAACATGGGTCCAAATCAAGGGAACAATGCACATTTGAAAGCTTATAATCATTAATTGGATGATAGGATGATATCCAAATATAAAATGGTTATAGTCGAATCGAGCAGCTCGACATGTTGTAAGAAGCTAACCACTGGACCAATTGGGTTTAGATAGGGTGACCAGGATCAAGGGCAGACAGTTCCACTAGTGATAGGAGTGATACCACTAGGGAGTCATCATCATTCCCCCATTGACAGGGTCATAGAAAGACACCTCTACCTATGGTTGGAGTTCTAACACCCCATGCTAGGTACTTTCTGTCATACCTTGGAAAAAAATTCCAAAAGAAGATAGAAATATGTGATTTAGAGAATTTTAAGTATATAATTTTGACATTACTTAACATTTGTGACTATTTTTATTTTAATTTTTTCATTATACCAATGTTGTACCCAAAAATTTTAAATGGTTGCATGAGCATGCTGCGAGGATCAAAACAAATTTTGAAAAATGTTGCTCTACTCATCTTAGGGACATATTCACAGATATTAGAAAGTCTAAGGAGCATCTATTATGGCTTGGAGAGAGCGTGTAGGGTGATTTGACTAGAGCTTGGGCTAGCCCTCACTACTAATAAATCAGGCTTTCGCATTACTTTTTAGGACCTACTACAGCTGTTTAAACACCTACAAAATTTTTTTGCAGCAGTGCAGTTTTGGAACCACAGCAGATTCACTGGAAAGGCTTTAGTAGCAATTTTATGAGTGTTGTTGTAGGAAGACTTTAGCAGCGCTTTTAGCAGGTATTAAAATTGATGCTAAAGGATAAAATTGATTAAAAAAATATAATGCCAAAAAATCCAAATTACAAATATCAATAAAATACTATAAAAATATAAATTGAGTGAATATTAACAATATATAAATCTACAAATCTGGTTGAGTCATTTGCTTATTAAGTAAAAGAAAAGAGAGGGCTAACGAATCACAGCTTGCAAAAGGGAAAATGCAAGAAATTGCGATTTAGAAAAATTCTCATATGGAAGGTGCACAAAATTGCAAAAAATATTGATACTAGCAAATGGAAGAAAAATTGCCCTCTCAGCAAATGGAAGGCTCAACACCACATTCATGATATGACAAAATGGAAAAGGGAAATCAAGTGTAATTAACAAAACTGGCAAGCTGATCACCAATAAGATATAGATAGGTGCACATTCCGACATCACAAAATCACACTTAGTTCTTTAGCTCTGAACGAATAAACACAATAAAGATGACTTAATAAACCAACAACAAGCATCAGAAATTATGGCGGCGATAATGATGAACATAGCTTTTCAACAAGAGGAAAAAATATGAGGAAATAAGTATGAAAGAAGAACATCAAAATCTTAAAAACTCACCGACAAGTTGAACAGTTTAAAATAAGCATATTACAAAGAAAGTAAGAAAGCAAAATTATTGCAACTTGTCAACCTATTTCATCAAGTACAGTTCAGTTGTCAAAATATTGAACTTAGAGATGCATGATATCACCAAATCATGTGGTATTCCATCAGGAAGCATTGCCTCCCGTTGCAATAATGCAGATAAAGACTGCACTTGAGCTCGCAAGCCAATGAATTTCGGAAGAAAAATCTTTTAATTTTTCCAACTCACTTTGCATGGCAACCATCTCCTTAGGAAGTGAAGATGCAAGTTCTTTGAATTCTGCAATGATCCCTTTCCTACCTGAACAAAAAAAGCAGAATGCAGAAGCTAAGAAAAATCTCAAGTAGAAAATAAATTACAGGAGATTCGGAAGAAGAAGAAAAAATGCAACACAAAAATAATAATATGTTCCGAGTTCTCTCAAAGTTTCTTCAACCTATTGGCAATCTTCATGCTTCCTATTTTAGCACCAATAACATTTCAATATATAGACGGGTGATCATGCACTAAAGCATACATTCATCATCATCAACATTACTCAATATCCCAATTATTTCATGTCGGCCTTATAAATCCTTCTTTTACATTCACTATATCATACATCACCAAACCAAGCTTTATAAAACACCAAAGTAAAACATGTTTTGAATCATACAATGAAATTTCTCTAAAATTTTTCATCAATCCTCAAAGGAAAAATTTGATCTGATAAAAGAATATAGGAATTGCTAATGGCAACCAAGCAACGAGCTGAACTCTTCTTCAGATAGTAATTCATACAAACATTCTTATCCCCAAAAATTTCATCAAACATTAAAAAGAAAAACAGGAATATTGAAATCTGATTGTCCCAATTTTCATCAACAATAAACCATGCAAAGCATCTGACAATTATCTCTATGTTATAGTTAATTCAAGCTAGTAGGATGTTACATTACCTCGCGTCTCAAATGTCCCCAACCAAATCCTAACTCCATCCTTCGCCGGATCCCTAATCTCCGCTGCAAACTTCCCCAACGGCTGTTGTCTCACTCCTCGATAGTTTTTGCCCTTCGCCGGCGCCCCTATATCCGGCGAATCGGGCTTCACTGGAGGTGGAAGAACAAAGGCTGTGGCGCTGCCGCCTTCTGGAAGCCAATCTCCCCTAAAGGCGTCGTGGAGGGTGAGGTAGATAACCATGCCGTCGGAGTCCTCCGGTCGGAAGGGTCAAGGGGGACCTCGATCTAGTGGTCGGCAATTTTAAAATTTTTAATAATTTTTTTGGCAATGGTGAAAATTGTTGTCTTTATGAATCAATAACAGAGGTTTAAAAATCGACCCTAAAAATTGCTGTAAAAATCTCATATTTTAAATAAGGTCAAAAACATAAAATTAAAATTAAATAATAATTCATTTAGAAAAAACAATAAGAAATTAAAAAGAACTATTTAGATTTCAATTGTGAATGAATCACAACATATATAACGAAATATTAAAAGAAGAATATATTTATATATAAAGCAACCACCAAGAGATGCATAAATCAAATTGAGTAAATCTATTGGTTAATGATGACAGTGCATTATTTACATTTCATATATATCAAACAAATAAGATAAGAAGAAAAAAGTTTGCCTATGGGGGACGAATATCGATTTGAGGAATGTGAGCAATATTGTGCCGATCGGAGCCTCCATCCTCTCGATAGCGCTCCTTCAACTCTGGATGACATCTCCCCCAAATTTCTAGACATTTCAAAGAGGGAGGAAGCTTCGGTAATTCCCGAAGCATAGGAGCATCATAAATGGATAGTTGAATTAAGCAAGGAAACAAACATTCATCTTCAGCAGCTACTCCTGCATCAAACCAATCCTCTAATGTTTCTAATCCTCCAATATATAACTCCTCTAGCAATGGAAAGGCACGGTATGTATTATTCCCATTAAATTTACTTTGGAGCCATTTTACTTTCGGCATGTTATCAAGTATAAGTGACTTGAGATAGGGAAGTTGTCCAAAAGGTGGAAGAATTTCCCACTCCATGCAATCTGTCAATTCGATTTTCTCTAGATTCAAGATCGGATTGACATTGTTCATCCATCTTGCAGATCTTGCACTCATGTATCTCTTAATGCTCAGATTCCTTAGACATTTTGGTGGCTGAAGGTTGTCGAGCACGTTCTCATCTAAATCGATGTTCCTTGAATTAGTGTTACTCCAACATAAGGTTAAATCTGTGAGCCTCTTCTTGACACATAATTTGGCACTACAAGCCACCTCGGTATCCTTAACATTTTCAAGGCAATTGATTTCTAATTTGCAAAGATCATTCATGTTCTCCAGCTCCCCAATTGTATAACCACTCATATCTCTAACATCAAACGTATTTAGTTCTTGAAGAAGCTTTAGCTTCCCAATCCCACATATTGATGCAATATAATTCTCGGGCAATTTCATGTAATGCAAGTTAGAAAGGTTATGAATGTCACTGGGTAAAAAATCATCACCTTTAAATTGGCAAAGCCTCCCTGGCCCATCATAGATTATGTATTGCAAGTGATAGAGATTACTTAGAGATCTTGGTAGCCTAGGGGCATCAACACTTTGGATCTTCAAATATCGAAGATGTTTCAAATATCTAATCTCCTCCGGTATCATTTGCAATTCTTTAGTACATATGTATAATAAGCGCAGGCATCTCGATGCTTTGAATATTTGAATAAGTGCTTTGCAAAGATCCTTATTATAATCTTCATAGAACAAGAAAAGAGAATGCAAATGTTTAAACTTCTCAATCTTTCTTAAGATGTCTGGACAATTTTGAACAGACAAGTGTCGAATAGTCTCAGAAATTTTGAGAGACGATTCTTCATCATCCACAAGTTTACTGCATTCCAGTGCAAAAAAATTAGATGCTGACACATGTATTAAATTATGCATCTCGTAGTCATCTCCGACCTTGTCAAATAAAGTTTTTTTGATTAAAACATCAAAATAGCTTCCTCCGATATCCTCCATAGTCATCCCTTGAGACGGCTGAATGAAACCCAATGCAATCCACATTCGGACCAGATCATCTTTATGAAACTTATGATCTCGTGGGAACATACAACAAAATGCAAAACAATTTTGTAGATGATTTGGCAGAACTATATAGCTCCGTCTTAAGATGGCATTGATAGAATTCTGACCAAATAAATTGCTTTCTAGAACTGTCCTCCAATGCCTTTCATCCAAGTTGTCTTTCAGAACACCACCAATGACTTTAGTTGCCAACGGAGATCCTAAAAGCTTTTTAACTCTCTCTGCAGCAATGACTCTTAATTTTTTATGATGCTCAGGGGGGCTCTTTACACCAGCAAATGCATGAGAGTTGAGGAGTTGCAAACACTCATCTTCCTCTAGGCCCTCTAATTTAACTATTTCCTCCTCTTCAATTACCATTGCAAACATCAGTGCAACTGAGTCCGTTCGAGTTGTTACCATAATCTTACTACCAAAACCCCCAGAAGCTAGAGGAGCGAGCACATCCTCCCATTTGCTTTTATCCTCCTCCTCATCCTCCTCCCAAATGTCATCCAGCACAAGTAAGAACTTCTTGGACATCACCTCCTCCTCGACACGCCTTTGAAGTGACACAAGTGTCTCCAAACGAGGCCTCTCATTCTTAAGACATTCCAACATATCTGCAATGACTTTTTTCACATCAAAGTTGTTGGAAACACAAACCCACATTTTAAGATCAAATTCCTTCGTAATTTCATCTTTATAAACATGTTGCAAGAGAGTTGTCTTCCCCATACCACCATGGCCCACTATAGATAGAAGAGAAATGTTTCTATACAAATCAGTTCCCCGATGCTCATTTGATGGATTCCTCAGCCACTCCATAACAAACTCCTTCTCCCTGCGCCGCCCGATGAGACCATTTTTAGGCAAATATCCTGTTTCGCGTGTTTTGTAGAAATCAAACTCCTGATCCTTCTGTTCCTGCTTCGCCCTGTCTAAAAGATGAAGGAAAGTAGTAACATCAGCCGAAACTCGATCAAGTTTCTGCACAGCCTCCTCCAGTCGCTTCAAGTTGGGATCGATTTTGAGAGCACGTTCGCCAATTTTGAAAATTTTACGAGGAATTTCAAATAGGAAGCTCGGCAGGAACTTTCTTTTCTGATCATATTAGTTAGAAATACATTATCAAATAAAAAAATAAATATATTCGCCAGCAGAATCAAATAGGAAGCAGGCGGTGGCAGAACACACCTTTGTTTCTTTATGAATATATTCTTGATTCATGTACTTCAACTGATCGAGCACATCATCTGCCTCATCAATAGCATCTCGCAGCTGACATATCCATTTTTTGAGATCGGGGTTATGATCGCTGATTTGTGCTCGGTTAGCAGCATAGACGACAGCTTGGATCTTGGGGTGGTTCTCCCGCAGCCTTTCCAGCTCCTTCTTCATGCCCGTCTGCCATCCGACTTGCTCTTCCAGGTAATCAGAGCAATTGCCGATGATCCTGTACATCATTGGAACAACAATCAAGTCCGCCATGGCACCAGTGGTCGAGGTAGGGAGAGCAGAACAACTGAAAAGTAGGAGAAACAGAGAAAAGTAAAACAGATATTAATTGGAAGACATGGAGATTAGATTATTATTTTGACTGACGTCTCCGTTGTTCAATAATAAAATGAATGTATTAAAATAAAGGAGTAGTTTGATTTTGATGGGAACACGAAGCTTCAGCGAAGATGCAGCTGCCTCAGATGGAGATTAGATTACTATTTTACGTGTACTATTTCCTGTGGTTTGTTATGTAAGAAATTTTATAAGGGGCTTTTACATGCATAACATTTAAAATTTTCATATTTACTTATCTAATTTTAAAACTTCTCTATTTACTGTCAAGTCACCTAAAAATACTTTTCCACTTCAAAACTAACACTCTGTTAACTATGAAACCTGACTGACTGCTTCGCGCGCGCTCGGACGGCTCTTTCTCGCTGGTATATTCTTCTCTATATTGATCGGAAATGTTTTCAGCCTCCCCTCTCTAATAGGTCAGCTAGATTTTCCGTTGAATCTCCATACGTTGGATACCGTCCTTGCACCATGCCTGGGACTAGCTTTCTTTTCCACCCTTCACCATCCTCCAAGTCACTAATCGCTTTGCCAGTTTACCTGTGGCTCATGCAGCTACTTCAGCTTCTATAGATTACCATTCTTTTGTACCAAGCTATTCAGTGAACGCATCCATTTCTGTCAACAATTCCATCCAAGTTACCTGGGCGCAAACAGGGATGGAACAAAATCCAAAATTGCATGCGTAAGCAGTTTGAATCATGGCCATAAAATGAAGAAAAAATTGGCAAAAAAGGTCATGAATTCATCCTGGAAATACATTGTGGATCAATTAGTTTTGATCAGGTCTATGCAATCCATAAAAGAAGCTATAGGATGTAAATGAAGACCTCGTATTGTTTAGATAAACAAATGCATTATTGTTTCAAAAAAATTTCATAAAAAAAAAGCTACAGGTTTTAAATGGGAAAAGCTTCGAGAGAGTGTCCGAGGTGAAGGTGGAGTCGTGCTGAAAAAGCTGCTCAAGGGAATACATCGTGGAGATGACGACTGGTGTGAACAGCTTGAGTTCGCACAATTGTTCAGATCATTTGAGTTCGCACAATATTTCAGATTGGCGTTGAGAAGACGAACAGAGTGTGCGGCGTGGAGAAGACGAGCGGATTGGCCGGCATGGAGAAGACAACTGGCGTTGACGATGTCGACTTGCTCGATCGGGAGGATTCCTGCACAAAAGACAGGGTCGGGTTGAAGGATGTTAACGGAGGTAATGGGAGTGGTAATTTAGGTTCTTATTAGTGTTTTAGGTGGCTGAACAATAATTATAAAAGTTTTAATGTTAGATAAGTAAATATGAAAGTTTTAAGCGTTATGTATGTAAAAATCTCATTTTATAATTAGTTGTTTGTTTCTGATATCTATTATGATATAGTATTATTATAAAATGATATTTAAATATTGGTAGATTTCTGATATCAGATGAATAATTTGATGTTGTTTATACAATGTTTATTTATTTATATAAATTTCTAAAAAAAATTAGTGCTCTTTTGACATTCATAAATATGCTCATTTGTTGTTTAATAAATAATTTATTTAGAAAAAATATGAAATGATGATCTAATGTGGATTAATGATTTTTGATGATTTATTTTATGTTATTGTAACAAATTTTTTAAAAATTATTAATATTCTTAGATATATATTTGTAATGAAAATCTCAAATAGTTAGATGGGAACATTTAAACTATTTTTTTATTATTTAAATCTTATCCAACAATTTAAACAATATTTTATAAATTATGCTAATTTTTATTAAATTTATAATTATAATTATGTTCAATGTTTAAAATATTAGTAAAACAAGATTCAAAGGGCTCTAATATTATCTTGCAGGCCGTCACCGGTTCATGCCAGGCCGGTGTCACATGCATGTCTTCCAATTAATCTCTGTTTTACTTGACTTCAGTATACTACGAGGCAGCTTCGCTTCTCTCTCAGTTAATCTCCGTTTACTTGACTTATATTGCACGTGGCCATTTCCCGGTGGAGTTCTTTCTCTTCCGATCTCTGTTTCTCCTACTGTTCCTTCCGATCTCTGTTTCTCCTACTGTTCAGCTTGTTCTGCCCTCACAACCTCGAACGTCGGTGCCATGGCGGAATTAGTTGTAAGTCCAATCATGGAGAAGATCATCGACGCTTGCTCTGATTACCTTAAAGATTTTAGTAAGGATTGCCTTAAAGATTACCATAAAGATTACCTTAAAGATCAATTCAGATGGCAGTCAGGCATGAAGGAGGAGCTTGAAAGGCTGCGAGAGAACCACCCCAAGATCCAAGCTGTCGTCTTTGCAGCTAACCAAGCACAACTCAACGATAACAACGGTGATCTCAACAACTGGATATGGCACCTGCGAGATGCTATTGACGAGGCAGATGATGTGCTGGATGAGTTGAAGTACATGAATCAAGAATATATTTATGACGAAACAAAGGTGTGTTCCGCCACCGCCTGCTTCCTATTTGATTCTGCTGGCGAATATATTTATTTTTTTATTTGATAATGTATTTCTAACTAATATGATCAGAAAAGAAAGTTCCTGCCGAGCTTCCTATTTGAAATTCCTCGTAAATTTTTCAAAATTGGCGAACGTGCTCTCAAAATGGATCCCAACTTGAAGCGACTGGAGGAGGCTGTGCAGAAACTTGATAGAGTTTCGGCTGATGTTACTACTTTCCTTCATCTTTTAGACAACGCGAAGCAGGAACAGAAGGAGCAGAAGGTTGATTTCTACAGAACACGTGAAACTGGATATTTGCCTAAAAATGGTCTCATTGGGCGGCTCAGGGAGAAGGAGCTTGTTATGGAGTGGCTGAGGAACCCATCAAATGAGCATCGGGGAACTGATTTGTACAGAAACATTTCTCTTCTATCTATAGTGGGCCATGGTGGTATGGGGAAGACAACTCTGTTGCAACATGTTTATAAAGATGAAATTACAAGGGAATTTGATCTTAAAATGTGGGTTTGTGTTTCCAACAACTTTGATGTCAAAAAAGTCATTGCAGATATGTTGGAATCTCTTAAGAAGGAGAGGCCTCGTTCGGAGACACTTGTGGCACTTCAAGGGCGTCTCGAGGAGGAGGTGATGTCCAGAAAGTTCTTACTTGTGCTGGATGATATTTGGGAGGAGGATGAGGAGAAGGATAAAAGCAAATGGGAGGATGTGCTCGCCCCTCTTGCTTCTGGGAGTTTTGGTAGTAAGATTCTAGTAACAACTCGAATGGACTCAGTTGCACTGATGTTTGCAAAGGTAATTAACAAGGAGGAGGAAATAGTAAAATTCAAGGAAAATGAGGGTTTATTGGGTCAGAATTCTATCAGTTCCAACTTACGATTGAGCTATATAGTTCTGCCAAAGCATCTACAAAATTGTTTTGCATTTTGTTGTATGTCCCCACAAAATCATACGTTTGATAAAGGTGATCTAATCAGAATGTGGATTGCATTGGGTTTCATTCAGCCATCTCAAGGAATGACTATGGAGGATATCGGAGGAAGGTATTTTGATGTTTTAGTCGAAAAAACTTTTTTTGAGAAGGTCAGAGGTCTCTACAAGATGCAAGATTTAATATATGAGTCAGCATCTAAATTTTTTGCACAGGAATGCGGTAAACTTGTGACTGATGAAGAGTCATCTCTCAAAATTCCTGAGACTATTCGACACTTGTCTATTCAAACTAAAAATCTAAGCATCTTAAGAAAGATTCAGAAGTTTAAACATTTGCGTTCTGTTTTCTTGTTCTATGAAGATTTTAATCAGGATCTTTGCAGTGCGCTTATTGAAATATTCAAAGCATTGAGATGCCTGCGCCTATTATACATACGCACTCATAAATTGGAAATGATGCCCGAGGAGATTAGATATTTGAAACATCTAAGATATTTGAAGATCCAAAATGTTTTATCACTTCATGGCACTAGGCTTCGGGAATTACCGAAGCTTCCTCCCTCTTTGAAACATCTATCAATTTTGGGATGTCATCCAGATTTATTTGAGCGCTATCGAGAGGATGGAGGCTCCGATCGGCACAAGATTGCTCACATTCCTCAAATCCATATTTCTACCGAATAATAGGTCCAACTACTTTTATGAAAATTTCAAAATACATGGCCTGAGGACGAGTTATCTTCTCATGGGTGAGTCTCTATGTGGTCTTGGTTTTTGTTTTGCTTTTTTTTTCTTACTTTGTTTGATATTGTAATTAGTCTGAATCGAAGACTCGTAATTTTTGTTTTAAATGATGTATTTTTAGAGAGCTTTGGATTCTTTAAGGACTTGTAACATTTCTTTTCGTTAACGCAATTGCCCCTCATAGATTTTATCTTAAAAGAAAAGATTTCAAAATACATAACCAAACATCGTTCTTCTTATCTTATATGTTTGATATATGAAATGTAAAGAATCCATAATATTTCAGCATGAACCAACTGTTTTGTATCACTTGATCCATGTACTGAATTTTATTATGTATCACTATACTTTGTGGTCCCTTTATATATAATATATTCTTCTTTTAATATTTCAATTAATTATATATTTGATTGTGAAAATATTAATATATAATCCAATTACCAAAAGCAAGATTGTGGTCGAGGACCTGTTCTTTTGAAATTGCAACTGCAGGTCTTTGAATATAAATCTGGTAGATGGATGGATGGTTGCTTGGTTTGTTTTTCTTTTTCTTAGCTAATTTTAGTTAATGTTGGATTATTACTGCTACAGAACTTTGTGAAATTGACTTTGTTCTGATTTATATTTACTGATTGTTGCTTGTTAATAAGATTTGTTGGTCTAAACCCTATCTACTACAAATCTTCTAATGATTTTTTTTAGAATGGCTATAGGTGGTCTTATATAGGGATTTGATCTTAAAAATCTGTTGGCTAAGCTATAGGTGGTCTTATAGAGCTGATCAAGTTGATAATATACGTTGGTGGGGAACTTCAAATTTTTTTGTAAAGTATAAATTTTTTATTTCGCTTAAATTTCTTATATTCTCTTATTTAAAATAATTTTATTGTTTCCTTTTGAATTTACTAGCTTAGATAAAAACTACAATTATTAACTTTGTTGTTGATAGTACAATATGGAGGGATGATACATATTGAAGATTATTGATTGCAAATTTATTTTATTTTTTAATAAAAAACTTGTTATTTATAATGTAAGATATTAATTATATTGTTGGATGTTAAATTTATACTTAATTGTTTATTTTAATTAAAATTCTTTATAACAATTATTTTATTTTTATGAGTTATTTTAAAATTTAATATTTTTTAACTATTTCAAACTGCACAAGCCACGTGAAAATAAATGAATAAAAAATAAACATACTATTTGATACGTCTTCAAAAAATTATCTTGATCGGGCACGAATCTCGATGCAAAATCAAGTTGGAAACTTCCAAAATTAAAATTGGGACCATCCGAACTCCGATTTCTACAAACTTACAGTCGAACTGAGCGTCCCAGAAATTCAAACCCAACGACACCAAATTCGACTCAATTCGAGCCCAAATGAGTCCAAATTAATCAAGGCCCCAAAGCGCTGTTGGAAAGTTTGAATCACTATTTGATTTACCAAACGGTTTCAAAATATGACGTTCTTATAGTCGAATCAAGCGGCCAGACGAGACAAATCCAACGAGCCCAAGATCGCCAAATTCCGACATCATTAAGATCTCCAAATATATGACATACAATACATGATCAAGGGATTCAATATCGGCCGCCCATCTAACCACTACACATTTACCCCTGATATCTCGCCTACTTACGAGTCATGCCACTCCAGAAAATCTATAAATATACCCCTCATTTCTCTTGAGAGGGGACTGAAGCAAGAAGAGAAGAAGGAAGAAGAGAAGGCAGAGAAGGAAGAAGCTCTTCCTCGACCACCGTCGAACTTTCACCAGACCACACTTTGCTGGACCACCGCCTGACGCCGTTGTTCCGCCGGACCACCACTTGAGGCCCTCACCTCCGCCGGACCACCACTTGAGGCCCTCACCTCCGCCGAACCACCGACTGATGCCGGAGTTTCGCCGGATCACCACTTAAGGGCCTGAGCTCCGCCGGACCACCGCGGTAGCTTCGCTGGACCGCCACCTGAGGCCCTCACCTACACCGGAACACCGCCTGAGGCCCTCACCTTCACCAGACTACCACCGGAGGCCCTCACCTCGCTTTACCACCGCCTGACGTCGGAGTTTCATCGGACCACCACTTATAAGCCTGAGCTCCGTCGGACCACCGCCTAACGGCGTTAATCCGCCGAACCACCACTTGAAGCCCTCACCTCCGCCAAACCACCGCTGACGCCAGAGTTTTGCCGGATCACCACTTAAGGGCCTAAGCTTTGCCGGACCACCGCATAACGTTGTTGCTCCGCCAGACCACGACGTGAAGCCCGCACCTCCGCGGGACCACAGCTTGACATCGTTGCTCCACTAGACCACCACTTGAGGCCCGGACTCCGTCTAGACCACCACGTGAGGCCCAAACTTCTATTAGGCCACAATTTGATGCCTAGAGTTCTACCAGAGTACATCCCTACTACAACAATCTATTGAACCCTTGTCCATGACCAAGCAACTGTCCTCTGACCTCGATCTCCTACTATGGTCCTTCCGATCTACATTGCCAGACAATAGTCTTTCTGACCCCAGTCTCCTGTCGACTACAGTCCTTTCGATCTCCATCATCTTCTATGGTCCTTCCGACCTCCATCACTAGACAACGATCTTTCTGATCCCTGTCTCCTGCCAATTACGATCTTTCTGACCTCTATCCCATCGACTATGGTCCTGCCGACAAAATAAATATGTATATGTAACTCCCACCATGTAATATGCTCTATATGATGTATATTTGTGAGACATCAAGCCAAGGCCTTCTTCTAAGGAAGCGACTCATTTGTAATTGACTGCAAATACCAGTGGATTCATTCAAACTGGGTTAGGCCCCGTGGTTTTCCCCCTTTTTAGGGGTTTCCACGTAAAAACTATGGTGTCTCTTATGAACGCTACACCCTCTAACTTCTCTAATTGTGCGCTGGATCTTCGTATAGTGCTAAGACGTTAAATTATATATTTCTTTACCGCCACGAATGCTCTAGGATGCAACAGTTTGACACCGTCTGTGGGAATGTGGTTCCTAACTGGGGGGCAATTTTTGCTCCAACCTCAAAAGGTTGTTAATGTCAACTTATTGGCTTCAGCTATTGCTGCATCAATTTCATAGGAATTAAATTTGGAATGTGGGGCAATTTTGACTCCAACTGTGGTCAAGAAGATCCATCCAATGCTTTCAATATCAATATGATATTTCAAAAAAATTCTAGCGATAGCAATGATACTTCCAATCAATTACAAACTTTATACAGTCATCTGCCGGACTTCTACTTCTTGGTTAAGGTCTTAATCTCGATCTCAAAAAGACAGTAATAGTCTAAAGATGTACTATTCTTCACCTTTAATTTGGGATACATGCGGCATTCACCCCCTCCCTATCAAGGCAATATCGATCCCAGAGAGATTCAATTTGATCTCTTCCACACAGGTTATTTTTGCCCTTCAAAACCACGGAAAGCAGCGGACCGCGGGAGATAGTGAAAGGTCGTGGGAAGCAGCCATGTGCCATGAATTTTTTCTAACCCTGTTTTGCCGCAATGCACCAAACAATCATTTAATAACTTTTAAATAAAACAGAGCAGCATGACGCCGTCCCAAACAAACCCTTAGTAAATTCAGGATTTACGAGGGATTCATATTTAAGGCGCACTCGACAACTACTTGGCAAAATTTACCGTAAATCCGGCGCAAATCATGCTACAAATCCGATACCATTAGCGGCTGTTTGGCAAGAAGTAAGATTTAACTTTAGTGGATTTAAGTAAAGTTTAAATCCTGAAAACTATTTCTGTATGAAAAAATGTTAAATCCTATTAAATTGAGAAAACTATTGAGGAACATATTTCATAATAACATGTTAAGTATAAGTTACTCATTAATTATTATTTACACTATAATTCTACACCAAGGGAAGAAAAAAAGGAAGAGAGAGAAGAAGAAAGAGGAGAAAGGGAAAAGGAGATTCCTCACCTCCTCGACCACCGCCGGAGCTCTTCCTGCCGCCTGAAGACGCCGGAACTCTGCGGATTTCAGGAAATGCCAGGAATTATGCACAACATCCACATGATGATGAAATCCTTCCCAATTAAGAACAGAGTTCCCTCCTGCGCCGAAACTCCGCCCAATGTGAAGCCGAGGTTCTCCTCTGCCACCAAAGACGTCAACTTCTACCCGACGTCGGATCTTCACTCTTCGCTAAGTTTCTAACCGACGCCGGACTTCTCCGGTTTATCGGACTTCGTTGGACGTCTATGCGAAGATGCATTTGTTTCATATGCTGGACTTCTGCCTGACGCGTCATACTGATCTTCGTTCGTCAGACTACAGTCCTTCCGACCCCCGTCGCCAGCCGACTACGGTCCTCCTGACTTACGTCGTCGCACGACTACAGTCTTTCCGACATCCGCCGCCCGTTGAATACGGTCCTCCTGACTTACGTCGCCCGCCCGACTACAGTCTTCCGTCGCCAGCTGACTACGGTCCTCCTGACCTACGTTGCCCGCCGACTGCAGTCCCTCTAACAAAGCGAACATCGTCAATAGTGATTCTTGTATTTACATCATGTAATGTACTCCATAAGATGTACATCAAACTAACCTTTCCACCAAGGAAGGGCCTCATTTTTGTAATCCGACTGCAATACTAGTGGATTCGTCAAACTGGGCTAGGCCCCGTGGGTTTTCCCCCCTTTTACAGGGTTTTCCACGTAAAAATCTTGGTGTCTCATAATGCTAGACCCTCTCATCTTATCTGATTGCGTGCGCGGATTTTCGTACAATGCTAAGACGTTAAATATGATATTTCTCTACCGCCGCGAATACTCCTGGACGCAACACCGGATTTAACGCGCGCACAAAAACTGTTTGGCTGGATTTAGCGTAAATCCGACTTAAATCCCGCTGTAAATCCGATACCAAACAGCCCCTTAATGTTTCTGCTAATTCCTCTGGGCTTCATACAAACCGGGTAAAAAGCTCTGTTTTGTTTTCTAAAATCACTAATTTCTTCCCTGCTATTTGTAGAATGTTAAACATCCCTCCCCCCTCTAAAAAATTCACCTATCTTGGCCTTCCGATTTCTTCTTAAAGGTTGATT